GGGGGGGGGGGGGGGGGGGGGGGATGGGGCAGTGAAAAAATTAAAAACGCTCTGGCCAATTAATTGACTTTTTTAAAAAAATTCTCACTCACTTAGGCCCCGTCTGCACGTATCCGGATATTTTTGAAAACGGAGATTTTTTCTCCGTTTTCCAAAAAAAAAAAATGTGCATCCACACGTAGCGGCTCCTGGCGTATGCGAATCGTTTTTGCCGGTCCATACAAAAACGCTAAAACGAAGGAAATACGACAGAATCCCTTACGAAATATGCTTCATGCTCGAAGCACACGTAAGTGAGAAGTTCGTGTTTTCAAAATTCTCCACTGAACAGAGCCTTTTTTGAAAAAATACGTTTTCGGTGACCACTTTCAACTGATAAGTGTAGAAGGTAGGCTAAACCACCCGGAGAAAACAATCCGTATTCAAACCATCATGAATACGTGTGGACAGGGCCTAATTTGCAGACAAGGCCGTTATGTCACCCCCTAGACAAGTTCGTATTGCCCAAATTACGGTACGTACTGAAACTACAAAAACGTGCGCAAAGTGCGAGCGAATGAGCGGCGAAGCCGCGAGAAAAATAATAACAGTTGCTCCCGCCCCAATCTCCTCGTGGTTTCTCTGCCCTAGCCCGCTTTGCGCGCCCAACCGAGACCGCCGTTCTACGCAGGCTCAGTTTACAGGATATTGATCAACTGCGCACTGTTTACAACGAGCTCAGTATTCTTATTCACAAAAACCTGAGGCTTCAATAATTACTTCGTGGTGGAACTAAATACATCTGTGTTCTATTCGTGCTGCAAAACTTCCCGCAAAATCGATCACGTTTCCTCGATTTGCACCCGAGAGTTTTATAAATTAAAGCCAATACTGGCAAAGTTTTGACTAAAGGTGTCTCCCTTTTCTACTGATCCACGGAGCTTTGGAAAATATGCCAGTTAGGCTATGCGAGTAACAAAAGCTTAAACCTAATAAGTTATCATTTGTGTAATGCCAGGTGTATGTTGGTGTATGCATTAATTGGGGCGGGGATGATAAATGATGTTTGTTACTAAAGGAAAACAATATAGTCGATATATAGGGCACTCATGCGAAATTGCATGTTTTTTTTTTTTCTTAGACTAGCAGATATAACGCGATGGCTCCAAATGACTACCCCGACCAATAATACAGTAAACAATGGAAAATAGTCTATCAGATATCTGGGGCCTTATCTATGCATGGCGCAAATTACCGGGAAATGTACGGACATAACGTTAATTGAGTAGTTTTAAAAGACAAATTAAGAAATTGGACCTGGGAAGTTTTTTGGTCGAGAAATGTCCAACTTGCTGTTTTCTGTGTCATTCTTAAACTACAATCCTACAATTTATAACATTGAACATAAACACATAACTCTATATTTTTATTAGTTATGGTATGTATATATTAGTTTATTTATTTTTTGTAATTCACACGCATCTAAGTGTATATTTTTATTTTTATTTATTGATTTATTATTTGTTATTATTATTATTATTATAATTATTATTATTATTATTATTATTATTATTATCGGAGAAATAAATAACAATTCACCACATCTGTTGTATTAGCATACGACAACCTTGCATGCGACAAAATGAGCCGTGAATACTTAGGTCAGAGACATCTTTTGAGAAAGATATGGGCTGGTTAGCCAATTTTCGCCTAGAATCACCATGTGAAAATTCATCAGTTTGTACCATTCTTGTTTTATATCAGCTGTATATTTTTAAACAGCTTGGAGATAATGTGAAACAGATCGCTTTTGTTAGCAATAAAGCCTGACTAATTAAGCCCCACATATTTATAATTTGAATCCATGTTTGTTTATAGTAAACTCAATAGAAAAAAAACAATTCACATTTTCTAAAAGGCTCTGAATAACTCAAATGAACTACAAAAAGAGTCTCAACAAAAATATTTAGCTTCTTTTGTAAAAGTCAAGTAGTCATGCCAATCTCTCGCAGGGCCATGTTCGTTATGTAATCGTTATGAGTAAAGTCATTGGGTCAAGGTGGGCTAAAACAGTAAAATGTCACCCTACCAAGAATTTCCTTTCTTCTCGTAGCATGTGGTTCAGCTGTGTACGGCCATTCGAAGTCACAGCGAGTAGTTTGGCCAACCATCTTCAAGTCGTCCGTCTACCTGCAGCCGGCCGCGTCAATATAAATGCTATGCTAACGTGAAATAAACACTAAATACCTTCTTGAATTTTAATACATTGTTGTAACTGCTTGGTTCCAAATAATGGATATAGACTGGCACGGTTGATCGAGCAAGCTGACTCATGCAATCTTCAAACGGAGGTTAAAATGAGGAATTTTCAACCTCATGCCTCATGCTTCTTAGTCGAGTTTTTACTGTTTTACGATCCATTTTCGACGCTTCTGATTTGAACAGATTATTTTTGTTTGCCAAAATGGCTCGTCGAGTACTTTTTTGCATATAGAGTTTATGTGTAGACTTCATTGTTTAAAGATGCTTAAACACAATCCATTCATTTTTTTGAATTGAAAATTAAGGCAAATTATGGTTGACATATCATCCAAGCATCAGACACCAATATTGAATGTGGGGGGAGTACTCCATTACTCCCTGCCAGCAGAAGTCTCTCGTTTTTCCTCTCATTTTTGCCTCGTCATGAGAGACCTCTGCTAGCAGGGAAGGTACTGAGTACTTTCTGAAAATCGCAAAAATTAATTATCAACGATATCACGTATTGAAGTCATAGAGGTATGTGCCGCCCCAAAGAGCATAGTTTTTGCGCTTTTTCGGCCTGAAAACGGGTATATATAATAACTCCCTGGGGGCCCCCTCAAAAAGGTATGCAAAAATCGAACCAAAATCGAAATGTGGAAGCAAAGAATCGTGAATCGAACCGAACGGTCATAATCGCGATTAATCGAGAATTTGATTAATCGTTACACTACTAACTAACATCCAATGGTTTGGTGCGAGTTGGAAGGACAGCTCTGGTGGTGAGTTGATATTAATCAGTAAGCTTATTAATTTAGAGCTTTTAACAAGAAGCCTAAAAGCACTTTGCGCTAATACAATAGAGCCTGTAATTGTGTTTGGCTGGTACAGGTTTGAGTAAATCAAGAAGAGATTAAGATGTGTCCAACAAAGATCACAGGCAGACCACCCTCTGTTCCTGAGGTTCCAAAAATACTTATAGAGATTTGAACATAAATGTTAACTTAGTCATGTGTTAAGGTTTTTTGCCGTCCCGAGCTGTTTAAGCGTTATTTTCCGAAATAATTATTTGATCAGTGGCTAGGAATATTGGAGGAGATGGAACAACTACAGGATACAGGGCTATGTCTTAGAAATTCCAACCAGTCGCAAAGTCTTGTACACGAAGTCTTGCAGGCATGTCAGTTCTTGTTTTGCAAAAAAGATGCTTCCAAAATACGGATTTTTCTCTCTTCAAATATCACTTTAAGCAAAAAAATTATTCATAGCATGTTTGTAAAGATTTTCCAAGTTTTAGCAGACGAGGGAATGGATAAATAAAGTAAACTTGTCAAGTTGTCAACTCAAAAGCTTGTCCAAATCCGTGCTTGCGTGATTAAATTATCAAACTACCGAAATATTGATTTCTAGCTGATCTCATGTTATTCCACCCAATTAAACAATCTGTAACTGTTTTGTCAACTGGCTTCTTCCAAGTTTATTCACTATAACACTATTGTTCAAAAGTTATGCATCTTTACTGCACATCTTTTCTTTTATGACTGTTAAGCAGCAAGCGTGTGCTCATAATTTACAACAACGTACAAAGTCTGTTAAACTTCGAAAAACATAATTCCGCCGCATATCTCCAACTTAAGACAATATATGATTTACTTATACTTCACCTTGAAGCAAATCAAACATACTCAAAAGTTATGACATTCATACGTTGCACAGTTCGCGATAGCCGGATTAGATCATAAATATCTTGAAGCAGCAGCTACACTGCAACATGATTACTTAAACAGCTGCATCATTCTCTTCAGCGTTTGAATCATAAAGATATCTAAATGTTATGCTTTTAAACACCTTTAGCTATTGTAAAAGAGAACAAAATTGTGAAGAACCAAAATGGCTGTCTCAAAAAGCCCTTCTTTGGCCTTTAGCCGGCGTAGAAATCTCATGTTTGAATCCCAAATCTCATTGGTTCCTAGCATCAACTCACAGTACCTTCAACCCTATTGGCTCCTGCAACAGAAATCTGAACACACAAATCCACAGAGATACATACGCTCACACCACTACATATGAGCTATTTTTTCAAAATAGCTCAAAAACAAACAGACAAAAACAGAATACTTAGGACAAACTTAAAGGATCCAAGTGATCTTTAGCCTGCGTGGCAGATTTCATTTCACTTCCCTAACGCCAACAACGCAGGCTAAGTGAACTTACAATCACAATCCATGATCCTGATCATCTAAGAGAAACTCGCGCACCTTAGAAATTTTTTTTTAATATAAAGAAAGGCACCGTTAGCGCTTACTAAATTATTGGTAAAATAGTTTCTAATACATAGCTGTTTGAATTTATAAGTCATTTGATTTTTTTAGTCTGCCCTCTCTTAACCCGAGCACATGGACCAATTCTTGGATCAGTAATGAAATCCCAGATCACCTTTGTCCAGGAGGTATGATACGGCAAGTTGTCGTAGTACTCTGCTGCAATCTTCTTGACCAACGGAAGCTTGGAGCCCGGAATGCTGGGAAAATCGTGATGCTCGTTGTGATACCCAACGTTGAAAGTCAGCCAATTTCCTGGACCGTAGTAAGAATATGTTTCGCAGCCTTCCGCGAACATATAATGCTCAGCGATGAAGTGGCCCGCCAAAGGGTGAAGACCCATGCCGAGAACTGTGCTAGCGGCCATGAACACAAGTGATTGTAAACCCCAGAACTGTACGACCAAGTAGTCGAAGGCGAGCTGAACGACGATGTTAAGGATTTCTAAGCCGCTTGGTGTCAACGGGTTAACAACCATTGGTCTGATGGCATAAAAGAACGGTTGTAGAATCACCCACATAACCTTAGCGATGGAATTACAGAAAATCCAAGCCTCAAATTTGGTCGGCAGGTCCGGATCAATTTCTTCGACACCCATGTAACGATGGTGCAAGATGTGATATTTCTTGAAGGCAATGGAAGATGGAAACGCGGTCGGTAGATTAGCTAGGATACCAAACAGCCTGTTAAGTAAGGGACGGCCGTTTCCGAACGCGATGTTGTGAGAAATGTCGTGAACTCCCACGATGAGACCATGGGTTGCCACGGCGCCCAGGCAGTAGGATGCTATGAAGAGAGCGGTCCAGGACACGTCACGCATTACGTAGGCCAGTGAGAGTTGAAGGGACATCAACAACAAGATTTGGTACTTGAAGATAGGATCACTGCCCATCAGTTTCTTGATCTCAGGATACTTGGCTTAGAAAAAGAATAGAATAAGTCTCAGTAATTCAAGATTGCCTCCCTATGGCTTTTCCCCAGAGAACATGGGAGAGTGCCCCTACCATCTTCTAGGTAACCACCATGGGGCAAGGCAACCTTGTTCCCGCCCTTGCCATTTTCTGAGGGAAAAGCCCTGGGATGTTTGATGGAAGTGACGCGGTTCGACGTGGTTATCAAGCTCCCCATTTGGGAGAGTCGCGAGAAGTCACGCGAGAGCAGCACGCGAAAGGAGACGCGAGTGCGTTCTCTCGCGGCCCTCTTGTCTTATAAATGGAGAGCTTGCCAGCAGGCTACGGTTGTCTTCGACCCGCCCATTTCGGGACAGACGGGATTTTGCCTCTAGAAATGATTCTGCCGTTCTTCTTGTAAACTTTGTCTGTGGGATTTGGAACATGAATATTCCTTTTCGATAAACTGCTATACTGCTGAAGACTCCAAAGATCTTATAAGGGCTCGCACCATTCATCGGAAGTGAAATTTCTTTCCGCGACTTCCCTAGCACTGCTAAAAAGTCCGTTTTTGGCCGGAGAGGGGGAGATGGAGCAATGACAAAATTAAAACAGCTCTAAACAGTTAATTTACTCACTCACTTAGGCCCGGCATCCACACGTATTCGGATATTTTTAAAACGGAGATTTTTTCCCTGTTTACAAAAAAATATGCATCCACACGTAGCATATTCGAATCGTTTTCACACGAAAACGCTAAAACGAAGGAAATACAATAGAATCCCTTACGAAATACTATACGTGATTCTCGAAGCACACTTAAAGAGAAGTTGGCGTTTTCAAAATTCTTTACTGAAAAGAGCCTTTTTTTGAAAAGATGCGTTTTCGATGACCGCTTTCACCCGATACGTGTAGTAGCTAGGTAGGCGAAACCGCCTGGAGAAAAAATATCCGTGTTCAAACAAACATGGATACGTGTGGACAGGGCTTAATTTGCAGACAAGACCGTTATGTCACTCAGAATTGCTGAAGGATAGAAGATGTTGGGTATTCAAACAAGTTTGTATTGCCCAGTTTACAGGATATTGGTCAAATGCGCACTATCTCTATTTACAACGAGCTATTCTTATTAACAAAAAACCTGAATCCTCACTGATTATTTCGTGGTGGAACTAAATACATCCGTGTTCTATTCGTGCTGCAAAACTTTCACACAAAATCGATCGCGTTTCCCCAGTTTGCACCCGAGAGTTTTATATTACTGCCATCTGGGCGATACAATTAAAAGCCAATGCTGCCAAAATTTTGACTAAACATTTTTTCCTTTAATTTCTACCGATCCGCGGAACTTTGGAAATTTTGCCAATTAGGGTATGCGAGTAACAAACGTCAAAGCCTAATGATCTGTTAGTCGTGTAATGCCAGATGTATGTCGATGTACTTTTTGCATAGGGCGGGATTGTTAAATGATATTTGTTACTAAAGGAAAACTGGTATAGTCGATATATAGGGCGATCATGTGAAACTGCATGTTTTTGTTTTTCTGAGACTAGCGATATAAAGCGATGGCCCCCAATGACATAGTTTATAGCTAGTTAGAAATTATTAATAATGGTAATTGAACTGAGTGGAGTGCAATTTGGTCTGAAATCATACGCGTGATTTCAAAATCGAACGAGCGCGCAGCGCGAGTTCGATTTGAAATCACAAGTATGATTTCAGACCAAAATTGAACGACACGAAGTTCAATTACCACTTTATTACATCCATTTTGAAATCGCAGAATTTAGTCAGTACTGATATTTAATTGATCGAGTAGCCGGTTTCTTAAAAAGCCGAAACAAAAAGGCTTTTACATCTCATTTTGTATTCGAAACAGAAATGATGCGATATAGAACAAAAATGGTGCGATTTAAAACAGAAATGATGCGATTTAGAACATGAATGACGCGATTTGGAACAGATGCGATTTAGAGCAAAAAATGGTGCGATTTAGGAATAAATCACACTGCTGAGAGCCAATCAGATTGCACGGATAACCAGTGATTTCAAAGTGGATGTAATAAATGTTGAAACGTCATGAAGTCGTAAAAAATAAAGAACAATTCACCTCATCTGTTGTATTAGCATACGACAACCTTTTATGCGACAAAATGAGGATTACTTAGAGACATCTTTTGAAAAAGAAATGGGCTAGTTAGCAAATTTCCGCTACAATCACCATATGAAAATTCATCAATTTGTGCTATTTTTGTTTTTATATCAGCTGTTTTTAAACAACTTAGAGAGAATAGGAAACAGATCGCTTTTGTTAGCAATAAAGCCTGACTAATTAAGGCCCGGTTCAGAGACCGAACTTTTCATGAGCCGAACCTAATACATTGTATTAAGTACATGAAAAGTTCGGCGTCTGAATCAATTAGGAACGCCTGTTTCGATTTGGAACGGCTGAGCGGGACTGAATTTCGCCTTTGGAGCGACTTTGAAACGGCTTTGATTCAGACGCCGAATTTTCCATGTACCGAACATAATGCATAAATTATTAGAACTCATTTTGCAGTGGTGGATCCACACTTTGAGATTAGCGGGGAGCCGGTCATCCAGACCCTGAGATAAGAGGGGGGGGGGGGGGTCCAAAAAAATTTTTTTTTGACCCTTAGGGCCTCAGTTTGGTCTAAAAATAAAGAAATGGGCCGAAATGAGCATTTTTCGCCTTTTGAACTTAGTTCAGCTGCAATTAAGATCGGCGTCTGAATCAATTCAGCCGGTCTGAATAATTTGGGTTGGCCTTAATTCGAATTAGGTTCGGCTCATGAAAAGTTTGGTGTCTGAACCGGGCCTAAGCCGCGCTTATTTATAATTTAAATCCATGTTTATAGTAAACTCGATAGAAAAAAAAACTCATGTTTTCAGTTAAGGGCTCTGAAAATCTTAAATGAACTATCAAAAAGGACTCAACAAAAAAGTTTAGCTTGTTTTGTAAAAGTCAAGTAGTGATGCCAAACTCCTGTATGACAGGGCCATGTTCGTTATGCATTTCTTAATGTTCTTGTTAATAAAATCATTGGGTTAAGGGGGGCTAAAACAGTAAAATGTCAGCCTACCAAGAATTTCTTTTCTTCTCGTAGCATGTGGTTCGGCTGTGTACGACCATTCGAAGTCATGGCGAGTAACTTGGCCACCCATAGTCTTCAAGTCTTCTACCTGCAGCCGGCCGAGTCAATGCTATGCTAACGTGGAAAAAGCACTAAATACCTTCTTGAATTTTAATAATTTATTCATTTGCTTGGTTCCAAATAATGGGTATAAATTGGCACGGTTGGTCGAGCAAAGTTGACTCATGCTATTTTCAAACAGAGGTTAAATGAGTAATTTTCGATTCCATGCTTGCCCATCTTTTTACTGTTTTTACGATCCATCTTCGACCGTTCTAATTTGAATAGATTGTCAAAATGGCTCTTCGATTACTTTTTTTGCATATAAAGTTTATGTGTTGACTTCATGCTTAAACACAGTTATTAATTTCAGTACAATGGAAGTTGTATGGCAACTATGGCTCCTAACGTCAAGCAAAAAATGACACTATGTAATTCTTTGAGTCTGTAAGGATGACATCGCCATAACAATAAAAAAAATGCGAAAGTGGATTGTATTTCAAAATCTATTCCAAAGTCCACTTTCCATTTGCAAGGTAATTTATTCATTTATCTGAATTGAAATCCTTAAAGCGAATTTTGGTTGACATATCAACCAAAAATCAGCCACAAGAAAATTGAATGTTGGGTCTGGGTACTCCATTGTATCACGTAACTCATATAGCCGTATGTGCCCCCTCCCCCCCCCCCCCCCCC